TTGGAAGATACATTGGAGTTGGACGGAAAACCGGCCGACGTTGATGAAAAGGTTTGGAATAAGATGAATAGAACGGCGTGTGGTGTGATTAGGTCTTGCCTTACCCAAGACCTTAAATATGATGTGATGAATGAAACTTCGGCAAAGAAGATTTGGGAGGTCCTAGAGGGCAAATATTTGACGAAGAGCGTCGAAAATCGTTTGCATTTGAAGAGGAGGCTTTATCGCTTCCAATTGAAGAAGGGGACATCCATTAGTGATCACATGAACCACTACACGAAGCTACTTGCAGATTTGGCGAATGTAGATGTCAAGGTTGAAGACGAGGACAAGGCATTGTTGTTATTGAGTTCCTTGCCCGACGAGGAATATGAGACCTTCGTCCTCACTCTTATTAATGGAAAGGCATCACTTTCGTATAGTGAGGTCACTGCAGCCCTTGTGAATTATCAACTTCGAAAGAAGGACAAGGAGACTTCCATCGAGCCGGTTGCTGGTGCATTGGTTGCAAGAGCTAGAAGTCCAAACCGTGGAAGAAGGTCGCAGTCTAGAGTGGGGCATCCTGCAGTTGGTAGGAATCAGTGTGCCTTTTGTAGAGAGGATGGACATTAGAAAGCCGAATGCCCAAAATTGCAAGCTGTGAAGAATAAAGGGAAAGCTATTCAAGCTTCAGAGGTGAATATTGCCAAGGCTAGTGGCGATGTTTCAGATTCAGATTCAGATTCTTCGGGCTATTCGTGCCCAGCTCTTCCGTCAGTTGATGTTGCCGACTCCACCGAGTGGATGTTGGATTCTGGTGCTACTTACCACATATGCCCTAGAAGGGATTGGTTCTCCAGCTTTCAGGAGTTGGAAAGAGGGGATGCTGTTCTCATGGGTAATGATCACAGATGCCCTATTGGTGGTATTGGTACCGTTCGGATTCGGATGAGTGACGGGATGATCCGGGAGTTGGCTGATGTGAGGTTCGTTCCTCAACTGAGGAAGAACATCATTTCACTTGGGGTATTGGAGGCATCAGGCTATAGGGTGATCTTGGCGGATTCTCGCTTGAAGGTCACATCGGGGTCCATAATTGTGATGAAGGGAGTCAGGCGGAGTAACTTGTATTATCTACTTGGGAGCACGGTAGTTGATAGGGCGCTGACTACTTCTATGGCTAGACTGTGGTATTGTTTGGTGCTGGGATATATTGTTGGTTATACCGTGCACAGATTGTTAAGGAGTGCTATGACCTGCAGATTGAAGTCCTGTGAGCACATTGATATGAGCAAGAAGACCGAGGTGGAGTTCAGCACTTCTATCCATCTATCGAGAGGTCTTATTGGAGGTGTTCAGTCAGGCATTTGGGGGCTTTCCGAGGAGGCATCATCGGGAGGTAATCGTTATTTTGTTTCTTATGTTGGGGATTGTACTAGGCATAATTGGGTTGCAACCAAGTCCCGTTGGTATAAAGACCTAGTAGTCCGCAACAGTTGGAGGAGGTGTATGGACAGAAAGGTTACCAGTCGTACTTATTCTAGTAGGAGTCCTTTCTTGCATTGGTGCCGAGCTCACGGCAGTTGGAGACACTTCAGAGGGAAGGAGACAGTGGGGCGACGTGATGAGATGGCGGATTTAGTGGGCCGTTCTTTTCTGGAGGAGGATCGGTATTGGTTATCGAGCAGTGGATCTGGTATTCAGGCTTCGACAGGTTTGGGTCATCTTATGAGGTTGCCGACTGCTGCGTATAGAGTTGTTAGATCTGGTGGAGATGTTTCAGATTTTGGTCGGCGTCGAATATTTGACTACCCAGCACTTGGTCACATCGTTGATGTGAGGTTGGATCCGATTGCGCAGTTGGGATTCAGGAGTTCTTTTGGCTATCAGTTGGGAGCTTCTGAGTTTGGTCTGAGCAGGTTTGTCACTTTGGACTCTCGGCAGGTGGAGAGTATTGATCAGGTCAGAGGGATATCGCAGCGGGTGGAGGTTGATGCTACTCCACATTGGGTGGGGACTTTCCCACATACTCCAGGTCATTCTGCATTGGTTGGGATTCCAGCTGAGGTGACACAGCGTGGGAGTCATTTATTTATGGGTGCAGATGATGAGGTAGTTGATTTGGATGCAGCTGATGGATATGTTTTGGATACGGCCATTGTTACATCTCAGGTGGAGGTGTTTGGATCGTTTCAGTTTGGGGTCGTTGATGATGCTATCAGCCGCAAGTTGGATTGAGGGCCTTTTGGAGGCCATTGTTGATGATGCTATCAGCCGCAGGTTGGATTGAGGGCCTTTGGAGGCCCATATGGTGAACTACGTGAAGGTTTGATTCCTTGGGCAAGAGGATACGTAGGCAGTCTTTATGATGCAGCCGATTTGGTGAGCGACATCGACATTTGGGGAGAGTGTTCGCACTCCCATTTGGGTCTCAGCAAGTGAGGCATTTGGTGTAGTCGGTGTAGGCTCAGTTGTTTGGTGAGTAGACACAGTTGGTTTGGGGTTGAGTGTTCGCACTCCCGTTTGGATCTCGACGTGTTGTGATTGGAGTCCGTTGTCATGAGTCCGTTGCCATGGCATACTGGGTGCAACAGTTGAGGTATTGGTTTGATCGGTGTCGGCTCAGTTTTGGAAGAATCTTCGCCGAGGGGGAGATTTGAAGAGATAAGCTCAGGATTCAGGATTGTCAGGGTGGCGGTCGACCGGCCCGGTCGACCGCATTCGTGCACAAGGCTTCCTGTGCGTCTGGAAGGAGATCGGTCGACCGGTGCGGTCGACCGACGGTTCTCTGGAGTTTGGGTTTTCTACTGAGAGCTGGTCGGTCGACCGGGCCGGTCGACCGGAATTGATCGCGGTCGACCGGTCCGGTCGACCGACGCTGTTTTGGGCTGGGCTTTCAGGTTTTCGACCTGATTCGTTTTGGATTTGTATAAATACCCTTTGGGTGTTTTTTAGGGTTAAGAGCAAGGACGAATTTGAGCAGATTGAGAGAGTTTTCTTTGGGCTTCTATTCTAGGAGCAATTGGAGAGATTGAGAGTTGATTGTTGAGGGTTTATGAGAGATTTGTAACCCTAGTTTGTTCCTCTTGATTTCTAATAGTGAAAACTCCCCCCTCCTTGCCCCGTGGACGTAGGCATCTTGCCGAACCACGTAAAACTGGTGTTTGGTTGTTTGTGCTGTTGATTTTGGTTGGTTGTTTATCTTTCTTGGCGATTGTTTTGGTTTCTCGAGGCACAACATAACTGACCTCAGTTTCAATAGAGAGGACGTCAACAAAAATGTCAAAGTACCAGTGAAAACGTTTTCTTACAAAATTGCTAGTGAGATCCTGAAGATAAAAAGTAAATATTTTTCGTAGCTCTATTAATTTCACCAAAATTTTCTAAGAAATCCCTACAAATTGGAATTTTTTAGATGATTCGCGCAGGGTCTAGAGCCGGTAGAAGGAACTGAACTACAGTAATGGATCAGATCTAATTTTAAACCGATATAGATCCGATCCACATAAGAGATATTTTTCATTTTTATTTAAAATCCACCTGAGAGATATTGATGTTTTAGGAAATGGATGTTGAGCAAAAACACCTCGTGTACATGTCTGTGAATTTTAGGTACATTTACATTTTTTATCATTAATATTTTAAATCTTTTTAATAGCCATACTTGTTTTGTTTTTAAATTTTTTATTGAAAATTTAAAATCCTGCATTAGTAAATTAAAATTTCCAATAAAATTAATTGGTATTATTATTTAATAAATTATTTACAATTATTTATGAAGTATTTTATTATGATATGATAAAGCAATTAAAAGTTATACTATTGTTAATAATGATAGTTACGTGCAATTATTTATTAAATAAATTTTTTCTATACTCTGATAGTTAATAACGATTCATAATAATTTATAACTTATTGTTATTATTATTATAAATTACTAGTTATAGTATTTGACCAAAATTTTTGGGGAACGTGAGGTGGTGTATAGTTAGTAAGAGGTTATGGATGTTTTATTTATGAAAGGCCAACTAGATATAATGTGCATAATTGCGAATTATGAAAATTTAAAGGGGAGAAAATAGTCAATCAAAAAATTTGACACCCCAGTCCTCTTTTACATGTAGGGGCTGTTTGGTTCGCTTTTTAACTCCGTGGAAAGTTTTACACCGTCTCCACATAGGATTTTTTGTAGCCACGTTGGATATAAGTTTTACGTTGGTTTTTCCCCCTCTTTGGTTCGCTAGGGTTGAAGAAGGGTTCGAACTTTTATATGATTAATATTACCTCATATAACGAGCACAAATAAATTTGTATATAGTGGGGGGTAATCTTACCATTTTGACCAAGATATCTTGAAAAATATTGTTGCAAAATAATGTTAAGTAATATAAATTCTAATATAGAATATTGATCGTGACACATATCATATTGATGGAAAGTTAGTATAAGTTGTCACATACATGCTTTGCAGATCACATGTTTAAATGATTTTATCATTATGTATTTCACACATCTTTTATATTACCCTCTCCATCTCTGCGTTTGACATTCCTTGAAAAATAGGGAGATCTATCTTGACCCATCTGTATCCTAGACTAGCCAAGAACTACACTAGGAGAAGGTTAGGCAAATAAAGAATTCATCTGAAGGGATTTTTTTTAGCTCACAGAAAAAACTGAAGCAATACTAACCCTGTTTTTTTTTCTTTCCAGAAACATCGCTTTCTACAAAATAACCATAATTAATCCTTGCCGGCCATATTTTTAGAGTTGCCGAATGTGAAATATTATTATCAATGATTTTTAATAACTCATGGCAAATTTTAATACCTCTAAAATTCATGGCAGCATGTTCGATAAACAAGAATTTAAGGTAATTTTCTTCAAAATAATACCAAAATTCATGGCGATTATAGTCTGAGTGAACATTTATATTCAGAAGACTTGGGCCGGTAGGCCCATTAATTTGTATTAAAGCAATTGGCTGGTGAGCCCATTTATTACAACCCTCTCTCAACAAACATTTTTAGAAGCTCTGCAGTCCCTCGAGAACCGGTCACTCTTCCCTCTTCTCCTTCTCTCACTCTGAAATGTGGAAAAAGGGCAAGAAGAGAACCGACGAGGAGGCCGCCGGAGGCGACTCCGACGGCGCTCCGCCGTCGAAGAAGCTTGCGAAGGGCGACTCCGAAGAAGATGGCATCGTCGTCTGCGAGGTCAAGCTACACTAACTCCAGTTCGAATAAACCCTAGTTTTATCGCCTCTTTTGTTTTTTTGTTCTTTGAACTTAAAGTTTGGTTTTTTTCCCCCTCTTTTCTTGCAGTTGTCGAAGAACCGGAGGGTTTCAGTCCGGAGCTGGCAAGGGAAAATCGTGGTTGATATCAGGGAGTTTTATGTTAAGGATGGAAAGACGCTCCCAGGGAAAAAAGGTCCCTTTTTTACTCTCTATTTGAGAATTTTCACTGGAAAGTTTCTGTCTTTAGCTCATTTAGGGTTTGGAAAATTTTAGGTCAAATTGAACTTTCTTTCCTTGGCATGAGCGTTTTGATCTTTTAGGTAGCGGGTGTTAAAGATGAGTTTTCATGGTAGAATTAGTAATTTGTTAACTGTTTGCTATTTCCAAGCGTTTCTACTTTCCATTTTGTTTGAGAAGATGTTATAGAATGCACTAGCTAGTATAGCAATGAAGGGCTCTTTTCAGGACTTTTTTGAAGAGATTTTGCAGTCTTAAACTACTCCTACGTTCCGGTAAATATTTGATCTATATGCAACATCATGTAAGTAATGATCAGCAGGGAGTCCGACAGGCAACAGTTTGCTTGTAGAAATGAGAAGGGGTGGGGTATGGTGTATCAGGGAGTGAACGTGGGAGATTAACTAAAGGAATCTAAATATGAGGGTTTCAGTTTAAGTCTATGCTTTGTGTTGCCAGCTATGGGGCATGAGTACTTTTATTTTGAAGTTAACGGTGACTGACATTCTGACACCCATAGTGGCAATGTTTTAAGAATCTCCCACCTAGCCTCCCGCCTAGGCCTTGGGAGTGCCTAGGAGAGCGGAGACTGCTTTTGTCGACTGCACCACTTAGATCTTGGTCGTGATTTCCTCCATTACTGCCTTACATCTTCTAACCTCCTTCGAGCTCCTCTAGCTGTCTCCACCTACTACAAACACCTTCTCCAACTCCTCCAACCTTGGGCAAAACCTCCTCCATCACCATTTAACAAAAAATTCTTCTAGGCCTAGCACCTAAGCGCTAGGCACCAGGTTTGGCACCTAGCGGTTCCTAACGCTTTCGATAACATTAATTATGATTAAAAAATAAAAAATGCCTAGGCTCTACGCATTGGGTCCGACGCGTAGGCCGTCTAGCGCTTTTTTTTAACCTTGTGTAGTGGACACCGACACTTCCTTGGACACTCGTTAGATATGTGTATACAATTATTCAAGCACGTCCTCAATTATATAACGTGTTATAATTTAAAGCAATAGAAATGCTTCTTGAACATGTATTCTGCACTTCACATACACTTCTTTATTTATATTATATATTTGAGTTATCTGTTTATTTTCATTTATGCACTAGAGGATGTAGTAGAAACTGCTATAAGATATTGATTTGTATAAATCTAAGTTTAGATAATGTCAAGCATTTTCTCAAGTTGAAGAGCAAAGTCATGTCCCTTTTGCAAAGTCTTAAAACTGTATGATAGGCCAAAAAAGTAGCAGTCATGTAATCATTATATGTTCTATATAATTATTTATTAGAGATAATAGCTTCAACTCTTGAATGCATGTAGATGTGTATGTATGCATCTATATGAAGTCTCTGTTTATTATAAGAATTAAACACACTGACACACATATGCATACATACGCACACATCACCAATGTTGTAAAAAGCGGCAAATAGCGCCGCTATCGCGCCGCTAATCGCGATCGCGGTGCTTCGGCGCTCCGCTTACGGGTATCACAGGGAGGGTTAACGGAGAAAGCCGCAATACGCTCGAAACGCGCGAAAAAAGCGGGATTTAGCGGCCAAAAGCGCTTAAAAGCGCTAAAATCCGCTACAGGGTTTCTTAAACTCGTGGATACTTCACCGCAAACCCGACCCGAACTTGTTATTTAAAACCCATCTCTTCAGTCTTCACCGCAAACCCGACTCTTTTGCCCTAGCCGTCCAGCAACTCTCTTCTTCCAGTCACTCCGATGCCTCTCTTTCACCTCCTCCGGCGACTCCTTCCAGCGCTATCTCCGGTCAACGTCGCCTCCGGTCAACACGCCTCCGATCGACGTCATCTCCGCACCAGCAGCACCTCCGGTCGACACCATCTCTCTCTCTCTCTCACGGTCTCACCTTCCTCTCTCTCCGGTGAACGTCGCGTCGCCTCCGGTCACCTTCCTCTTTGATGGGCTTCGTCTGCAATAGAGAGAACAAACAAGGTAATAATTTGAAATTAAATGCTTATTAGTTGTAAATTTCTAAGTTGCAACAGAGAGAGCGAGCAAGGCTTATTAGTTGTAATTTGAAATGAAATGCTTATTTAGTTAATTTACTAATATCAAGTAAGTTCACATGTGGGAAAAGAACCAAATGTTCTAGACAACATAATGCCCATCATTTATCCAATTAACGTAGTATTTTTGGGCATGTAATACATTTAGTTAATTTATGATTATTTCATTCAAGAAAGAACACCCACAAATCTTGACTCTGAATTTATGCAATATTCAAGCGATTTAGTAAGTTATAAATTTTGAAACTAAAGATCCATAGACCGGAGTAAAAATGGACGACATTTTCTCTCTTTTGCACTAGCTGATTTAGTAAGTTATAGTACTTTGTTAATATTATGTAATTATTAAACATCTATTTCATGTTTAGGCATCAAATGTGCATTTGTAGATTTTTTTAGTTTTTTTATGAATTTTCTTATTATATAGGATATTTAAATATATTTAAATTTGACCGCTATTTGACTGTGCACTATTTGCCGCGATTTCGCCGCAATAGCCCGATATAGCCTTAGCGGTACCTCGCCGCGACGTGCCGCGATCCGCTATCAACAACCTTGCACATCACACACACACATATACACATATACATGTGTATAAGTATGTAAGTGTGTGTGCATTCTAAAATCATGTATTCATGTGGCAATGTCCTACTTTTCAAATAATTACCAAGTCCCATGTTTGCATACATGTCATACCTCTATCATGTGTCAGTGTCCATGCTACGTAGGTTGTTGGTCAGGCATGGTTGAATAGAAATGCTTGTAAAATGGGCCTCATTATCACTGGAAGATTTTATTACTTAATTTTCTGTTTTTAGTTATTCTATCACAACAAGACCTTTGGAAGAGTTTGAAGAGTGATACTTGAAAAGTCAGGAATAAACAGTAATGCATCAGGGCAATAACTAAAGGAGATTTAGATGATAACATGGAGAAGGTGGCTGCAACACCAAGGTGTAGTGAGGAGCTGAAGAGAAAAATGATAACCTGTGAGGTTTTCTATTATGTCCAATGAGAATCTCTTTTTGCATGTTTAAAAGGTTTTGTTAAGCTCTGTGCAAGCTTCTTTGTCATCTCATTCTCCACCGTAGCCTTTTTATTTTTTCATCACATTTTCATATTCCCTCTCCAATTCCTGACTCTCAAACTTCCATATCATGGGATCTTTACTTAGTGGAAGAGTAGACCAAGACAGGAATTTAGACGCAGAATATCAGGGAAGCACTAACAAGTGTTTTCTTTCTCATTATGTAAATCAATCATACAGTAAAAAAGATAACAGTGAAAAGAGTTATATGTAAGAGTTAACATAAGCTGTAGATGAGGAAGACATTGGTGGTATAGTGGTATATAGGGTGAGATACATCAAGATCTATTTGATGGAAAGGTGTACAAAAATTGGGGCTGACATTTTAACTCTCTACTTGCATTTATGCTCTAATTCAGTTAATATATAAGTTAAGGAAACTTATATTCATGATAAATCCTAATTTCCCTTTCAGCCTTCTCTTTGCCTTCAAACGTACACAAAAAGTTCCATACGTAAACTATTTTGCATAGTTTGTTTGAGATTTTCATCTGGAGGGTATTGATCAACTAAATAGATACCAATGGCAATGATGAAAGCAATATGAGATAATCAGTATATGTGTGGTTAACATATAGATCTGATCATTTTATCGAATCGATAACAACATAAATTGGATTATGATGTGTATGAAGTATTACTTGAGAATGAAACCTATAGAAAGAAATAACTTTGGAATGAAGATCTTCTAATCGAATTGCTTGTTGTCGAAAATGCCATGGAAAGAAGAAACTTCCCTTAATCTTTTCTAGATCTTCTTTAGATGGGTTTTCTCTGCCACCTAGGAAGGGGCCCCTCTTTGGTTAGAATACACTTGGTTATCCCTTATTCTGTATATCAAATGCTATTCACTGTAGCCAAAGTTGTATGTGCGTGAATCATTATTTAGTGTCTTTATAGAGCATCTTATCAGTTCTCTCTCCTGAATCTGAACTGTAATACAACCCCATCCCCTGCTTCCTCTTGATGGTAGAAGTAACCGTTGGAACTCCAAAGCTTTTGCCTTTTCTTTATAATTAATGCTAGAGTTTCTTTCTTGTTAAATACCAACCAGAGAGTATAATTAACTCCATTCGATACTGTTATTTTACTCTGAATAATTGCCATTTACTATTACCTAATAGACTGAATACTCAACTGAAGTGGGATCACTAGAATAAATGCAGAAAAAACAAGAAGGTTTGCTATGACATTTACCTGAAGCAATTACAAAGACCGAATATCTGAGATCAAGCACAGTTATCCATCCATATATCAGTCCAAAATCCTACTGAAGTACTAGATCCCACACAGCCACATACAGTTTCATATTGGATTATGATGACTGGTGTTCTTCAGAGTTTGAACATAATTGTATGTGACTTAATAGGAATGTAGCTTGGACTTTTACAGTTTTTGAACAGATTGTAACAATTTGCTCTTTCTCTGGCAGGCATCTCACTTTCCATGGATCAGGTACGCCTACCATTCCCATGTCCTTATTCTGTGGTTCCGATGAATATGTTACTACCTAGTGATCATGGTTCTCGCTAATATCTTCATTTATATGTAGCTAACTGCTACTTTTTTTTCCCCTTCTCATGTTAAGTGGAAAATACTTCGGGAGCATATCGATGATATCAATGAAGCTGTGGGTGAGAATGCATAGTTTCGAAATGGTTCCTACTGATCCCTTTTGTCCAGTCACTGTTGAATCAGACGTTGTGTTCACTGATCTAATGTTTTGTAATTAAAGATGTCGAAAGGCTCTGTCAGTTATGTTGAACTAGATGAATGTGGTTAACTATCTCAAATATGCTGGTACATTTGACTGATTAGGCCCGTTTCTTATGTTCTAGCGAAAGTATTGAGTCCTGGCTAAGAAGGACTTAACCATTTCCTTTGTTTGATACTGTTAATGCGTTAACAAATTCATGGTAGTCTTAAGTATGGGAACAGACTTATTTCATGTAGTTTTGCGTAACTTAGGCTTCTCGTTTAACTCTAGGAAGCCAATGATAATGATGGAGGTTTCATCACGTACCCAATAGCTAGCGTAAATTATGGATCTGACGGATGATGGCTGCTGCAAAATATTTGGATGAAGACTTATCGTCATCATGGAAATTGTATGGTTGCTGATTAAAAATATGAGACATGGAGTATGATCTCTATCCTGTTTCCGATTAAATAGAGTAATGGAGTAGATTCATTCTGATACGCATCTTCAGATATTTATAGCGACATATGCTAGCATTGACCGTCAGCCGATTTACACGATTTTATATAAGAGGCATGTGCGTGGACTCTCTCTTTTATTGTCCCATGCTCTTATCTTTCTTTCAATATATCAGTCCGTACCCCGTATTCTCTAGAGGCCTCACCATGGACAATAACAGAGAAAATAATAAGAAGTGCATATACGCGTTCCAACATTAATTTTTAAGTCATTTCATCACTGTTTATGCTAGTTTAATATTCTATTTTGTGCCGGTTTTTCAACAGTTTTATATTTTGATTTCAAGTCGATAGTAAAACACGGGTAACATGATAGGGTGGCACTACAGGCACACCCCCAACCACACCTTGAGGCACACCCCCTCTCAGCTACAGTATACATGCCCACTTTAGATTTTTAAAAAAATCTAAAGTGGACCCCGTGTACTGTAGCTGAGAGAGGGGATGTGCCCCAAGGTGTGGTTGGGGGTGTGCCTATAGTATTTTCCAACCTGATACCCCATAATAGCAGACGCTTAATAATATTATTATCTTTATACATTTAATTTGAGGTATTCCAGTTCGTTCAGAGAAAAAGGCAAAAAAAAAAAAAAAAATCTAAGTCTGAACTCTGACAGCAGCATTCTGCTGTTGATATCAAGATTCAAACATTGACTCAATGACTCAGTCAATCAATGTGAGCTGATAACAAGGTCCTTTTCTTTACTTCTCTTCTGTGCTCAGCTGTCGTTATATAGCAGCAACAAAAAACTTAGGTGAGAATTTCTCCACTTCTCTCCTGCTGCATAAATTTTATCCTACCCACTATGTGTGCAAACTTACATATGGATCCTCCGCCTTAACATAATCTGCATTATACAGAAAAATATCCGTTAAAGAATATTCAATAGAAAATCATTGGGGAGGGGGAAAAATGTGACGCGTTACTCTAAAGTTTGTTAATTTTATTTGGTTGTTAGTAAATAGAATATGTATCAAAAAGCATGAAAATAGGTACATTAAGAAAAGATAAAAAGAACGGTTAGAAAAAAAAAAGGATGAATATAAACTTGCTTCAAATTTACCGAACCCTCACAAATCCAATGTCCTCATAAAATTCAGGATTTTTTCAATCAAATTAGCATTTGCAGTATTTAATTTTAAAATAATTAGTTAAAATAAAGATAAACGAGAGTATTTTAGTCCAAAGGTTAGTTACTTTTGAAATTAGGAAGCTTTTTTTTTATCAATAACTTAAAAAACAAAAAAAAAACAAAACTTAGGGACCCAAACATAATTATCCCTACTAGGGGTGATAAACCGTATCCATATCCGAGAAAATATCCGTAACCGTATCCGTTAGGATACGAATATGGTTACCCAAATCTATAACCGATAGGATATGGTTACAGATATGGTTTTGTAGTGAAATATCTGTATCCGTATCCGAAATATCCGAATACATATTAGTCATACTCTTACGATAGTTTCGATTATTAGATTATGGATTTGTGGTTAATTTTGATGATCAAGATGTCTAATCTTAACTTTTCAATTATATTGGGCATATTAACAAACTCTTTGGCATCACATGAACTATGTTTTTCTCAATACTATCTAGTTTTTTCATATCTGTTTTGTATCTGCATGCATATCCGTTTATATATCCGCATGTATATCCGTAACCGTATCCGATTTTAGCGGATATGGTTATAAATTTTTTTTCCGAGATACATCTGTATTCATATCCAAGATGAGTAAGCGGATATGAATATGATAAGTATCATATCCGAGCCGTATCCAGATCGAATTCACCCCTAATCAAATTAGCATTTGCAGTATTTAATTTTAAAATAATTAGTTAAAATAAAGATAAACGAGAGTATTTTAGTCCAAAGGTTAGTTACTTTTGAAATTAGGAAGCTTTTTTTTATCAATAAATTAAAAAACAAAAAAAAAAGCTAAACTTAGGGACCCAAACATAATTATCCCTACCGACGAGAACCCCCGCATCAAAACTATATATTAAAAAATTATACCGTCCAACTGAAAATCCCAACACGCAGAAATTGTGAGCAAACAACCCAGAGTCCAAAGCTCCTCTCGTTACTCCTCCCTTCATCTCAGAAACAGAGAGAGAGAGAGAGAGAGAGAGAGAGAGAGAAGCGAGAGCAATGGATTCAGGAGAGAAGCGCCTCAATGAGCTCGGCTACAAGCAAGAGCTCAGAAGAGAAATGGTCAGTTTCAATCTCTCTATCTTTTCAAATATTTCAAGCTAAATATTTAATTTTTTTCCCCTTCAGACTTTGTTCAAGACTCTGGCGATTTCGTTCTCAACCATGACGCTGTTCACAGGGATTACGCCGTTGTACGGATCGAGCTTGCTGTACGCAGGGCCAGCGAGCTTGGTTTGGGGTTGGGTTGTGGTCTCATTCTTCGTTTGGTTTGTTGGGATCTTCCAGGCGGAGAACTCTGTCCTCTTTCCCTGTTAGTAGCAGTTTTGACCATTTTTCTGTCTTTCTTCTCGTATTATAAAACCCTTTAACTGTTTTTTTTTTCCAAAGTTTGAATTTTTTTTGGGTGTGCTAACTTTCCCCAACAAAGAAAAGAAAATTTAGCGGCTTTTAGAATATAAAACTATAACCCTCAATCGTGCAGTAAAGGAATTTTTAACATAGTATCAGAACAATCCGTGTTCAAATCTCACTGACTACACGTTTAATGTAAGAAAAAAAAATGCTCAACCTAATATAAAATTAGAACCCTAAGCCCTCACCACAACTCGGAAACTTCAGAGTTCTGATGTAGTGGAAGGGACCTTTTAACAATGTTAATGAAGACTTGTCATCTGGGTTCTAGGGTTTTGTCAGAATGATTCAGTTAACTTAATCAGGTCCTTGAATCAAATAGTAGATTGTTGACTGTTCTGGAGGAGCTTGCATTATTAGATTACAAAGAGATGGATCTGTTCCTATCGAAACTAGGTCTAAACTTTCGGGTTTGGGTACGAATATTCCTTTCTGCATCATATGTAGAATCATTAAATGCAAAGTTCTACAGAACTCTGTGTATGAGAGAGGAAGAGCAACATGAGGTGGTC